GCACGGATCCTGAAAAGGTGTTTCTAATGCCTTGGCTCTGGTCATATCAGGCAACAGACTCCTGATTTTTCCCTCAGGCCAGGCGTGAGACAATGCAAACTTGATTTTTAGATCACCAGCATTCTTTTTAGAAATCTGTCTGTTTCACCTTAGCCCAAGTCTTGCTTCTATGTTCAACAGCAGCCGCATTGATGGGCTGCCAGAAGGCCTGAGCGGATAGGAGAGGTATTGTTTAGTTGAAAGGGGGTTTTCTGTCAATCTGGATTAAAACAAACAAACTAAAAAAAAACAAAACAAAGGGGGTATCAATTATATTGTAAAGTAGTTCTCTTTGGGAAAAAGGATTGAAGCTTTAGATCTACTGGGTCTTTGTTTAAATAATCGTTCAGCTTGGCTGACCCCAGTTGAGACAGTTTAGCTAAGGCGACTGAAAGACAGTTCCCAATAAATGATAAAATCCAAGAGCAGCCCCTACCCTCCCCCCCAACCAAGTTTAAGGCCCTATAAAGACAAACACAGGCACAGCAAACCCTGATTGTAGCTTGCTCCCCAGGGAGCCTAAATCCGAAGTCATCATCAGCTGTGGCATCATCAGTGTAATAAACACTGGGTCTTTTGGTAATCAATCAAAGCACGCCATCCAAATCATTCATTCCTTTGTCTGCACACAGACATAGCGGGGCCCCTGTGAAAGCACTAAGCATCTGTTTCCTCGGTTATACAAATGTCCAAATAGTCAGACAGAGTACTCCCGGGCACACAGTTTGGCTTCTTAGTAGCAGTTTATATGGTATGGGTTATGCTTCCTGCTGTAAACCTCAAAAAGTTGATGAGAATCATCTAAGAACTGTTACATCAGGACGATGGGATATGAGTATTGTTTTCATCTTTTAATCAATTCCTTGGGTCAGTTTTTCATCGTGATGTAGACACATCATTTTTAAAGAAGATACTTTAGAAGACAGAGAAATCATCTACAGCTTTCAAAAGACTTAATCCTTCTCCAGGTCCAAAAGCCACAGCCCTCCATGTAGGGGCCACATCCTCAAGTCATAGAAATGGCAATTTTACAACAAGGGAAAATGACATTTGGTTGTCAGTCCTCACCCTCCTGCTGAAGACAGACCATATCTTTAGGAACTGCCTATAATGATCCTCGAATAGATAAGATCCTTTAACCTGCATCATAGCTGTTGACTCAGCAATAGACACATAATTTCCTTTCTCCCGAAATGGCTTACATACGCTATTGAAGTTTGTTTCTGTAATACACACGGACACTAAATCTCTCAGAAAATAAAAGCTCCAGGTAAGAAGGAATTTCTCTGCTGTCCACTACTGTATCCCTGGCACCTAGAACAGTACCTGGCACACAGGAGGTGCTCGATAAATAGTGTTAAATAAGCTAATGAATGAACTTGGATTTCCATTCCTTTGGGCGCAGTGGATAAAAGGATAATTAAACTTGTTTCTTGAACGATATCATAGGGGAATCTCCACCACTGGAAAGACTTAAACACTTCTATTAGGGATAATGTAGAAAATATTTCTTTCTGCATTGGGGAGGAGGCTGAACCAAATGACCTCTGAAGTCCCTTTAAACCCCCAGACCTTATAACTTGATGAACACCACTCCTTAAAAGAGAGGATCAGCTACTTAAAGCCTGTTCCCAGGTAGAGTAAATTACCACGCTCTGATTAAAACAAAGATAATAGCGGCCCTGGGACTTGGATGCCAAAATACTAACTCATCCGTAATGTGCACACATCCCTAGGGGAGAAATGCTCTTGCTAATCATCACTCACACTCTGGAAACAGCAGATGTGCTTCAGGGGCTTCTGGGAGCCAAGTCCAAAACCCACTCCTGGGAAAATGGAGAAGCTAGGGGTCGAGATTAAAATGGAAATAAACAGTATCACACCAGACTGAAGCTTCTGTTTCCCAGCCAACAACAAATCCATTTAAGAAACGTCTGAATTTAGCCTTGAAGTTAAAATGGCTATAACTGAAGATAACCACGTCATAAGATAGAAAATACTGCATTTGATATATAAGGATTTTTGCCCAGTGAAATGTCATATGTACCTGAGGTATCACACTCAGAGGTTCAAGTTCAAGAATGTCTGTCTAAAGTTGAGGGCAAGTTATTCTGGTTGAACTTTTTCTTCAATCTGAATGAGAGAGGCAGTTCGTAGGGGAAGGAGATATGTTCACGTTTTCCTAAACAAAAAAAAATCTAATTCTAAAGGAGTAACTAGGGAAACTCCATTCACAATCAACTTTGGAGTGATTCTTTTCTATCAACACATCCTTCCTTTCTTTTGTTCAAATGGTAGAATAGATATGGGAAAAGGAGGGGCAGCGATTTCTACCACGAAGGATTCTGTGTAGAGACCCTGGGGCTGGGTTTGGAGAATCTTCTGCATTCACTGGGGTTGTTTTGAAGACCTAAATGCAAACACTACACTTAAAACAGGAACCGAATGAACAAAGTGAAACAGTTCAACAACTCCTTGGAAAATGTATGAAAAGACTTTTTAACTTTGTAGTCAACTCCTGATCACCCCTACAACTCGGTCCAAAGAAAAAACAGTCTTCTGTTTCCAAACTGTAAGTAACTTAATCTTAATTCTAATGACAACAGGGAATGTGCAGAGAAAGCAGTTACCTCCTCTGTACACACACACTTTGTAAAATCGCCTCTAGTTTTTGAATGAGAGAGGTCTTACACAAGAATTCTGTGGAATTAAGCTCACATCTGGTTGGCAGACCTGGTGTTGGACATGATTGTGGCCACACAACTAAATCTTAAATCCACATACTGTTCCTATTTAACTGACATATATGAACTAATTTATAGAAAATGTGCAGCAAATTATTTCTTCCACCTCCCCCATGCCTCAAGAATGCACCAGCAATAGGTGTTACTGAAAGACACCCTGCCCACACACACACAGAACATTTGCATATAGCCACTGTCCAATTATCTAAAGCAGATATTGTTATTTATCTGAATCTGTGCTCTGTAAATGTGTGTGTGTGTGTGTGTGTGTGTGTGTGTGTGTGTGTGTGTTGGGGAAGGGGGGTGGGGTAAGGGGGTGGGAGTAGTAATTTAACCAGATAAACTTGACCTCTCTGGACCTCAATATTCTCACCAGAAAAATAAAGGGATCAGCCCAGAGACTATGCAACTTCCCGCAGTAACAACAATCTATGACCACTAATTATCAAGAGGAGACCTGAATTCTTAAGTGTTTGTCATTAAATATTAGAGTTTAAACTACCTAAAAGACCCACAGTTACACTTCAATATGACCACTGCACACTTTCTGACGGTGGAGAACGTCTTTGAAAACATCGCGGCAGCTGAACCACCAAACCGGGTTAGAGCACGCTGAAGGACCCCGCTAATTATGGGGGAGGGGTGCAAAAAGCGACTGTATCTGGAGGAAGAGTTGGGAGAAGGGCTGCGGGTTTGAGAGCACAGTCTTGCAATTTGCATTTCTGGGCTTGCAGAGCTTCCAGTATCTCCGCGAGACTTTGGTCTGTACCTGCAAAATCTCTCAAGCCACCACCTGCAGCTACACAGTTGTGGGAAGGGGAAGAAGAGGAAAAGAAAAGGAGGTGGTAGAGCGGGAAGAAACTCGCTCAAGGAGCCCACAAAGCCCGTGGGGCGAAAGTGACTTTGAACAGTGACAAAGAAAAGAGGAAAGAGAAAGAAAGAGGACTCCGCCTTTCCCCACCGGCTCTGCTCCTTTCAGTAAAAAGGGAAGGCCGCCGCCGCCCCTGGCCTCCGCCTTTCACCCGGGATGCAGAGCCCCGGCTGAAACCGCACCCTTTAAGTCCGGCTGCCCTCGGGCCGGGTCCAGAGTCGCTGAATGAGCTTTGCACCGCCGGAGGCGCGGCCCCTGCCCCGCCGGCAAACTCGGGGACTAAGCATCCCCCTCCCTCCCTCCCCGTCTCCCTCACCCCGTCCCGAGGCACCCGATTCTCCACGCACCCGCCACCCCTTCCTCTTCCTCGCGCGCCCGCCTCTCCGGCCCGCCGCCCCCGACCTTCCAACCGCAGAGCATTTTTAAACTTCCACCCACCCCGACAACGGGGCCCTTTGAAAACTTTGTGTATCTAAGGCTTTTGTCCACATCCTGGGCAGGGCCCGGTCACCAGCGTGGGTGCCTGAGGGTGTCCGGGATCTCACAGTGCACAGGGGAAGCCACCACGGAAATCCCACCCCTTTTTAATTTTTTTTTAACACATGAAAGGATGCTCAACATCACTAATCATTAGAGAAGTGCAAATCAAAACTACAATAAGGTATCACCTCACACCGGTCAGAATGGCATCAAAAAGTCCACAAACAATAAATGCTGGAGAGGGAGTGGAGAAAAGGGAACCCTCTTGCACTGTTGGTGGGAATGTAAATTGATACAGCCACTATGGAAAACAGTATGGAGGTCCCTTAAAAAACTAAAAATAGAACTACCATACGACCCAGCAATCCCACCCCTTCATTTTTGACCCGCTTCTACAACCGCGTGACACAACGCTTGGGTTAACAATTCCCACGCCCTGGTCGCCCCTCGGCGCGGGGGAGCCGGGAGGAAACAGCCCCCCCCCCGCACCCGGCGCCTTTCTCGACTGTCACGAGGGGAAAGGTGTGCGCGGGGAGAAGGAGGCAGCCGAGAAACACCGTGGCCAAAAGGATCCTCTTAAAGAAAAAATAGGCGAGGGGTCCTTTTTCTCCCACATCCCGGGAATCGGGGCGCGACGAGGCGATACACTGTTGCATCACGTAGCAGCCGAGCCGCGGGGATCCTCGCCCTCCCCTCAGCCCCAGACACGCGCCCAAATTCATGCACACACCCACAGCTACCGCCGCAGCCTTCCCGAGGCCCCCGCTCCCGGCCCCCAGTATTCCCCGCCGGCCCCCGCCCGCAAGCGGGAACACCCCCAGCGCCGGAGGAGAAGCGGCCGAGGGAAGCGAGGCCCCAGCACTCACAGATGGTCTCCCCACGGCCACGGCCATCGCGGCTGCTGCTCCAGCTGCGCCCGGGTGCCCTCCGCCAACACTAGCTGCTGCTTGGGCTCCGGCTCCCGCTCGCCTCCCCCGCGCCTCCCTCGCGGCTGCGCTCTGCTAGCGCCCGGCTCCCGCGCGCCACCAGCGGCATCTGCTCCCCCTCCCCACACCGCCGCCCCTCCCGCTTTATTAGAACAACATGGCCACCCGCCTGGAAGGGACCATTTGCTTCCCCAGGAAGGGGTGTGAGCCTGCGCGCCCGGGCTGAGGCGGTGGGAGGGAAGATGGTAGAGGGGCGGGCCTCCAGCCCTGGTCCGCAGGCCCAGGCTGCAGAGCTCGCCCTCATCAAATGTAGCGGGCGGTCCCGAAATGACCGTCTCCCGTGCCACCGAAAGCCCCCAGCCTGTGGGCCGGCCGCCACCCCCGTTCCACCAAGTGCTGGAGTCCGAGTAAAAGCCTGGGCGCGGAGGTCCCAGCCCCGGGTCCCGCCACGCGCTTCGCCAAGCTGGTAGCTGGAGCAGCTGCGGAGAGGGAGACCGGACACGGGCGAGACAGGTCCACGGGGACAGCATCTCGCGGAAAGTTAGCCCCAGGCAAGCACGCCCCAACCGGAGGAACCGGCTTGGAAGGGGAGCGGGCCACTAGGGAGAGCGGTGGGCGACCGAGGTGGGCTGGGCCGACCCCCGCGAGGGAAGAGTTCCCCTCCACAATTCTTCTCTTCCTAAGGGAAAGATTAAAAGGCAGAGAGCTGGAAGCTGTTACTGTAGCGTGCGGCCGGGTAGGCGACCACAGTGGAGAGGAAGAGGCGGTAGAAGTTGCTGCGGCGGACGACTAACCTTAGCCTGCCGCAGAGACGGAAAAGGACGCCCCCGCCGGAGAATTAAAGCAGCTGTTGACTGCCCTAGAGCGTGGGGGCCGAGGCCTCCCCCGGCTGTAACCCGAGAGCTGGGCACACGTGAGAGCTCCGCCGACTACTCTTTTTGATCGCTGGAGACTGACCGGACGACCCGGAGGCGGGCGCGCGGGCCTGCGGCTGTGGGGCGCGGCGACGGCGCCAGTCTGTGCGACTCCGAGTGCGTGGGAATAGCAAACTGCTCCGCAGTGGGGAAGGACTTTTCCCGCAGATGTCGGGGGCGTCGCTGCGTGTCTGTGTGGAGCGCAGAATGGCAGGGTCCTGGTGCAGGCCGGGTGGCGCGGCACCCCGGCAAGAGCTGGGCGGTGAGGTGTGCGGGAGGTGCTGTCGATCCCCGCGGCCTCTCTTAGGGTTGAGGAGGGAGGGGTCCACGACGACGAGGTGATTGAGGATAGCTCCCGGTCGGGGGCCGGGAGCCAGTTGGATCCAAGCGCAAGGAAGGTGTGGTGAGGCGATGAAGGGCTGTCATCAGCCCACGGGATTGCGCCCTTAGGGAAAACCCTGGCCTATTGAATTAGGTGACAGACAAACCACCTCTTTTAGCCTGGGGCACCTCAGAGCCTGACCTGAGACTTCAAGCACCCAGGCTCCTCGAGGCCTGGCGTCTGCCGCTCCTGCTGTCTCTGCCCCCATGAGTCGCAGGATTCAAACGCGCGCCGCGTCGCCTTTGGCTAAGGGTGGGTGGGCTCCGGGCGCGCATCCAGCTGCTGCGAGGCAGACGCTGGGTTGCCCCGGGAGGGGTCAGGGGGCTAGAGGCCACCCCAAATGAATTACACCCGCAGCATCCTGGTGGGACCGCCAGGAATGAGAAAACGATGAAAGTACACTCGGTGAAAGAAAGATGAGGGGCTCTTCAGCCTGTGGCCCAGACCCTCAGAGCCCTAACCTCTTCAGTTTGGACCAGTTTTTACCCCTAGACTTCAAATCTTTTGAAGACGAGGACCACCATTTTACGTCAAGCATGCATTAGGCACTCTGTAAGCGTTGAGTTACGATTACCAGGTGCGTGTGTGCTCTGTAAAGGGCGGGGGAAAGAAATACTTCGGTCTGCAGCTGTCTGTATATGGACATTTTTTTCCTTCTCCCAGAGAGAGGATTACACAGCGGCACTGCCCATGGACAAGAGGTCTCAGGTAAACCCTATGAAAAGACAGCTCCACAGGCTGCCAACTGGATAAGGGCAGTTGCAAACCAACTCTCCATTTTATGTTACATAGACCAGACCAGACCAGACTGCAGGATTTCATTCATTGTTTTTAATTTTATTTACTTATTTTGTTTGCAAATGCTTAGGTTGAAAACAGCTGGTTAGTTTTTAAGGATGTGAACTCCCTACCTTTGTTGGTAGGTTATTTTATTTATGCTCATCGCAAAGCTTAAAGTCACTTATTCCAACATCTAATCTGTCTGAGGAAACCCTTTTAGGATAAAATCATCAGTTTACCCAGCTTCTGCCTGATTTCTTTTCACTGACTAGGAGCAAGCAGTGCCTTAAATTACCCCCTTCCTTGTTTTTTCTGGCAGGTAGGCGTGTGTGTGTGTGTGTGTGTATATATTTAATAAATATACAATTTAAATCCTTTCAACCAAGGAAGGCTGTTTCAGAATTTCAGTTCTCATTTTGAAGTTAAGTATCATTCTACAACCAGACTACCTAGATTCAAAATCCTGGCTTTGCTATAGATACTTCACAGCTGTGTGACCTTGGGCAAATTACTTAACCTTTCAGTGCTTCAATTATCTCATCTTTAAAACCTGTTTAGTAATAGCTCCTCCCTAGTAGAATTAATAAGAGATTAGGTTACCTTTTAATTCTGCCCAGCACTGTGCTAGGAGCTAAAAAAAAATTTTACTGAGGATGCCTCTCTGACACAGTCTGCTGAGAGACAGATGTTTAAACAACTCCAATAAATAGGCCAAATCTTAGAAAAGATGTATGAATTATGGGATTTCAAAGCACAGTAGAAGGAGCTATTCACTCCCTGTCAGAACAGGAAAGGCTTCATCAAGGAGTTGGAGGAGGGGCGAGAGCAAGGACGACATTCCAAACAAGGGAAGAGAACGAGCAAAGATTCAGTGATTTCAAAGGTAATGATGCTATGGGAAGGATAGGTCATTTGGCATTGCTACCATGTAGCAGCCTTAGAGGGAGCCTGGTAGAGTGGGGAGAACACAGCACTTGGACTCCAGATTATCACTTATGAGCTTTGTGACAGGGAGCATGTGAGCCTTTCTTCATCTCATTTTTTCCTACTGCAAAATAGGGTAGTCATCGTGAGTTCTGATGGAGGATATCCATGTTCCTGCCCACAGGAGAACCTGAACTTAAAGGGCTTTCTTTCCCTTAGATTCAGTTAGTTGAGTTCAGGCAATGGGGAGCAACAGCAATACAGCAAAGAGTCTGGGTATTTATTCCCTAAGGCTCCCTTGCTATGGCATGACTGCAGGCTGGCTACATCTGAAGGTCACAGTTACTCTAGGTTATTCTAGGGTAAACCCCTTGTGGTTTCTCTACATTTTGCCCACACCTTTGCAAGTAGCCTTTTCTTAAACTCTACTGAAATTATCCAATAGGAATGTACCATCTCAACCTTAACAGATTCAGTCCATCAGAGAATTGTTTTGCTCAGAGATAACTGAGAAAACATAGGTATGCTATTATTAGAATGACCTATAACTTATTGTCCAAACTTAGAAACTTTAGAGAAAGAGCATTGGTGCCATTAGTAACTACACTAGGACAATAGGCAAAAACCAGGACTTATGGTCACCCTAGCTATTATTACAAGTTATTAATTGAGAGGTGATCATACTAACATACAGAGATTATGAGTAAGCTTATAAATGTCTCAAGGCAAGAGTGCTTATTCGTGTTTCACAAAGTCTGATATATTCAATGAATGTTGAGCTGCATTGGAATGGAGATGAGGCTAGGAGCTATGCTACCAAAAGCCTTTATTGCCGTACTAAGGATTTGGAATGTGATCCTGTGGGCAATGAAGAGCCAAGGAGGTTAACCATATATTTGCATTTTAGAACTAAGATCTCTACTGGGCTTCCCTGGTGGCGCAGTGGTTGAGAGTCCGCCTGCCGATGCAGGGGACGCGGGTTCGTGCCCCGGTCCGGGAAGATCCCACATGCCGCGGAGCGGCTGGGCCCGTGAGCCATGGCCGCTGAGCCTGCGCGTCCGGAGCCTGTGGTCCGCAACGGGAGAGGTCACAACAGTGAGAGGCCCGCGTACCGCCAAAAAAAAAAAAAAAAAACAATAGAAAAGATCTCTGCTGAATATTTGACATTGTTATTTATGCCAGATCTGTTCCCTTCCTAATGGAACCCCAATTTGCTTGGGGAGATTTTCCAACGAATGTTCCACCTTGATGGAAAGTAAATGCCTCTACAAGAGAGGTTCCTGAAGTTGCTTTCCATCAAATCCTTCCTCTTACCACCAAAGTATATCCAAGAGAGCATGTGATCTAAGCTTGGTCAGTCAGACACTGTTAAGTTTGAATCTTGAATTAAGGACCCAAAGTCAGTACAAATTGTTAGAGTTTATGCATTCCATAATCAATTTTTATCGCTTGTTTCTGTGACTTGCAGTCAAACAACCCTAACTAACACATCACCTTGATTCCAGTAAAAAATGATAAATGATGAATTAGGAACACTATAAGAGACAGGGAATAAGTTAGAAGCTATTACCACTTTCATTTCAAACAGTATAACTGACAACAGATCCTGAACCCCTCCTGCAACATAATATATAAAGATGTTCTAATATTTTAAAACATCCATATTGGAGAGGAAAAAGTAAAACTATCTCTATTCACATAAACTTGTATGTAGAAAATCCTATGAAATCCACTAAAGAATCATTAGAACTAATATGAATTCAACAAGGTTGTATTGATAAAAAATCATTACACAAAAATCAGTTGTTTTTCTACACACTTGCAATAAACGATCCAAAAATGAAATTAAGAAAACAATTTCAGTTACAATAACATCAAAAAGAATGAAATATTAAGGAATAAATTTAACAAAAGTACAAAACTTCCATTAAAAACATTGCTGGAAGAAAGTTTTCAAAGTCTAAGTAAGTGGAAAAACATCTCATGTTCATGGATAGGAAGACTTAACGTTGTTAATATGGCAGTACTCCCCATATTGATCTACAGATTTATCACAGTCCCTATCAGAATCCTAGCTGGCTTACTTGTAGAAACCAATCTGATTCTAAAA